ATCCTTCCCCAGGCCTCCCATCTCCTTGCGCTGCTGCGGCCCCAGGGGTCTGGCCCCCGGGAAGGTGTTGGTGCAGCTCCTTGAGGCGCGACCTGCTCCCTCCTCTCCGTGCCTCAGTTTCCCCATCTGCAGCATCAGGGCTGAGGTGCTGGCGCTGATGGCTCCCGGGGGGGCAGGAGCGAGTTTGCCCATGGGCACCAGGCGCCGTGAAAGCGGGGGGCTGCGGGGGCTGGCGTGGCCGTGATTTGCTCCCCTCCTCCCCCCACACAGGAGTGCGGCGTGCCCTTCCCACGAGACCAGCCCCTGGACACGTCGCGCATCGAGTGGATCCGCATGGGCACGACCGTGGCCACCAACGCGCTGCTGGAGCGCAAGGGCGAGCGCATCGCCCTGCTCATCACCAGGGGCTTCCGTGACCTGCTGCACATCGGCAACCAGGCCCGGCCCTGCATCTTCGACCTGGTGAGTCCCAGCCGCACCGTGGCCCGCACCTGCGCAAGGAGATGGGAGACCTGGGGAAGGATGCTGAGCGGCTCGGAGGAGCTTCCCTAGGAGGAGACTCACGAGGCCAGGCCTGGCAGTCTGGAGAAGAGACGCCAGAGGGGGCAGGAGAAGGATTTACGACGCGCTCAGCGGGGAAGAGGAAGTCAGTAACAAATCCCAGGGACTGTCTCCATCCCTGACAGGAGTGAGGGTCACGCGTGGGCTGAGCAGGCGGAGGTTTAACACCAGCTCAGGGAGGTCTTTCCCCTCCCAGCACAGCATTAAAGGGGGCACTTGTGGCCCCAGAGGTGGTGGGAGCCGAGAGCTCAGCCATGCTCACCAGGGCTTGGACACGTGCGTGGAGGAAAGGGGCATCGATGCGTGGCTCTGGGGCAGGGAGGCGAGGGGCACGGTCTCTGCATCGCCCTGCCTGGACGCCAATGCTGGAGGCTGCAGGGAGAGGAACAGGGGGAAACCCTGCTCGGCCCCGGTCACTCTCCGTCCAGCTCCGCTCCTGCCCCGTGTGGCACAGGAGATAGGCAGGATGGACTGGGTCTGCCCCAGGCTGGGGCAGCTCTGATGTTCTTGTGCCTGCTCCCCCTGCCCCCGGGCTCCCCGTGGGTCTGTTGCAGCTTCCGTGGCCTCGCGCGGGACTGCAGGTGCCTCTGGAATCGGCGCAGGGTGCAGTGTCGGTTTGAATCCCCCACGGAGGCCCTGTCCCCCCTCCCCGAGCCCTGTTTCCCATGCCTGGGTAGACAGGTGGGGTAGGAGCGGGGCCCTGCCCTTGAGCTATGAGCTGTGGCCAATGCACAAATGCGAGGTGTCGCAGCCGTCTGGGCACCCTCGTGGACCCAGCACGTGAATCCCTAGGGCGCTGGCCTCGCCCCATGGGGAACAGGAGCCGCAGGCCGGCCCCTGCGCGCTCAGCCGGAGCAAACGCCCTTGGGAACCTGCCTCGGAGGGGTTGGTGCCGGGAAGGAGCTGGCACCGGATTCCACTGCTAATCCTGGGGCCCCTGTGCCTGCCTCCCTTTATCTGCACTTGGCCGGTGACACGGCCACGTGGCTGCAGCTGCTTTGTCCTGGCCAGGCTCTGCCCTGAGGGTTTCCACCTCCCTCTCGCTCCCTGGGGCTTCTGGATGCCCTGCCTGAGCCTCTTCCCCCTCCCCCAGTGCCCTGGGAAGGAGCTGGAGTCTCCCCCCAGCCCTTTGTCTCCAGACCCTCTGCAGATGCTGTGCTGCTGGACTCCCTGGAGTATGATGGGGCCGGCAAGTGGGGTTGGTCATTCCCTTGGTCCCTGGGAACGTACCTGGGCCTGGTGCTCTCGTGATCTGGGCTTGTGGTGTGGGGGGCAGTAGCCCAAAGCAAGACACTGCAGAGGGTTTGGGGGGCAGGGGTCACCCTGAGAGAGCCCAGTGTGGTGGTGGCCTCAGAGCCTGCAGTCTGAGAGCTGAGCCCGGCAGGTCGGTGTCAGGCTGTGCCTCAGACGTCCTGCATGGCCTTGGCAAGTCCCGCAGCCGTTCCCAGGGCTCATGCTGGCGCAGTGACTCTGGCCTGCCAGCGGCTGAGCTGACAGTCTCAGTCCAGAAGCGAGGGAATGTGGGGGGGGTCACCCCCAAATTACCATGAAACAGGAGAGCTCACAAGATGGTGGGGATTGTATGTCTGGGGGGAGTGAGCACCCCAGGCTGGTCCTGGCACTGGATGAGAGCAGGGGACCCCAGCCTGGGCTTGGGCCCTGGCAGCTGGGAGGGGGGCAGGCCCTAGTGGAGGGGCCAGCAGTGCAGTGTTGGGGGGCAGCCCTCTGTGCATGGCTGGTCAGTGAGCTGTGCTGGGGTGGGCAGTGACCGTGTCCTGTCCCACCCCCATGTTGTGCCCAGGCGGTGACGGTGCCCGAGGTGCTGTACGAAGAGGTGATCGAGGTGGACGAGCGCTTGATCCCGCACCGTGCCGACTGCCGGCTCCCCGGGGCTGACACGAGTCAGCGCCTCCAAGGTGGGTCCCCAGGGTTGGTTTGGGTGGGAGCAGGCAGGCTGGGCCAAGGCAAGGGTATTGGGGAAGGCAGTCTTTGGTGTACGAATGGGCCCCTCTGACCTGGCTCCTGCCCACTCCAGGCTCCACGGGGGATGTCCTGGTGGTGCAGCAGCCCCTGGACCTGGCCAAATTGCGGACGGAGCTAGAGGGGCTGCTGGCTCGGGGCATCCAGAGCCTGGCTGTGGTGCTGCTACACTCCTATGCGTGAGTCCCTGCGGTGTGGGCGCTTGGGGCGGGCAGCGACAGTTTGGGAAGGAGCACAGGGAGCTAGGGCCGTGCCTGTGCCCCGACCTGCGTGCCTCTCCGTGGCAGCAGGACGGGTGCTGGGGCTGCCTTGCCCACCTCCCTGCTGCCTCTGGCAGGTGCCCAGCCCACGAGCAGCAGGTGGGTGTGCTGGCCCAGGAGCTGGGCTTCCAGCATGTGTCACTGTCCTCGGAGGTAATGCCCATGGTGCGAGTGGTGCCTCGCGGATACACAGCCTGTGCCGACGCCTACCTCACTCCCTGCATCCAGCGCTACCTCCACAGCTTCCGCGCCGGCTTTGTCCGGCAGCTCCAGGTGAGTACAGCTCACCACAGCACCTGTGATACCCTCGGAGCTGCAGAGCGCTCCTTGCCCTTGCCTTCCTATGTGGCTGGACCAGTCTGCCCCATTCTGTGCTCCTTGGCCCTGTTCCACATGACCCGGCACCTGCTATAGACTCCTGCCCCCCCGTGCTGGGGCACCCCCGCAGCTCCCCGACCCCAGCTGCTCCCTGGCTGCCCCAACAGGATGTCCCAGTTCTCTTCATGCGCTCCGACGGGGGCCTGACTCCCATGGACCAGTTCAGCGGCTCCCGTGCCATCCTGTCTGGCCCGGCTGGCGGCGTTGTGGGCTACGCCATGACCACCTATAGCCACGAGGACAGGCAGCCCGTGATTGGCTTTGACATGGGAGGTGTGAATTGCCACGACTGGGGGTGACTGCTGGGTTGGGGGTCAGGGAGGTGTCTTGGCCAGGCTTCTGGGGGTCCAGTTTCCCCATCCCCTGGCCCTGGCCCTGGCACTGGCTTGGAGTGGGAGATGGTGGTCAGGGCTGAGATATTGGTGCCAGGGGGCAGGGGCAAACATCTGACCCATGCCCCCCTCCAGGCACCTCGACGGATGTGAGCCGCTATGCTGGGGAGTACGAGCATGTCTTTGAGGCCACCACGGCCGGGATCAGCATCCAGGCTCCGCAGCTGGATATCAACACTGTGGCAGCTGGCGGGGGCTCCATGCTCTTCTTCAGGTGGGGTCACTGGCTGCCCCGGCTGTCTCCTGGCTAGATCCTGCTGCCGCAAGGGGCCCAGAGCCAACTCAGCACCACTCCAGCCGCTGCCCTGCTGCTGCTGAGCTGGCTCACCACTGCTCCCGGCTGCCAGTATGCGCCCTCCCTGACTCCGTGCCCCCCACAACTTAGTCCCAGACAGCTTGCAGGATCATGGCAGCCCTGATCCTGACCCTTCACTCCCTGTCCTGTGACCCTGGACTTTCCTAGGGGCCTTTGCTTCCCAGTGTGGAGCCTCGCCACCTCCCACAGCCCCAGGCTGTGGCCCAGGCTGGGCTGTAGCCTGTCAGAGCCCTGCTGATGCCAGGAGCTAAGCGGGGTTGCCCTGCCAGGACAGGAGACCCGATCTCTCAGTGGGGCAAGAGAGGGTCTCTGGTGCCCCCAGGCAGTGCAGGGAGCACCCTGGGGGCACTGTCCCCTCGCAGTCAGCACTGACCCTGCCCTGGCCGTGCTGGGCTGAGGGGCTTGGGGTGACGGGGTGTTGTCCCCTGGGTCCCATACCCTGAGGCAGTGCTAGGTGCTACGCATAGTTTCATAGTAGTTAGGGGTCAGAAGGGACCTAAATAGATCATCTAGTCTGATTCCTCCCCCCCCCCGCC